GCTGTGGAACGGATTAATTTCGTAAGTAGAGGTACCACTGTACTTTATCATTTTTGCCATTGTCTTTCTTCGATTAACCTTATTTCAGAAACTACAAATAGCTTGTAATGTACACGAGGAACATTCAACTCTAGTAGGGCAACACACTCAACACACAAATCATCTTTTCAAATCAAGAGTAGAATAGAATTGTTGCATTTCTTATAGATTGGTTGCCTTTGCGCCTAAAGAGGTATCCTGACAATAGTATAGTGATTACTGTCATTTCTTTCCTAATGCCTCAATTTTCTATTTTGTAAAACTATTTATGTAGTCATGCTCATTCCTAATTGAGTTTGCAGGTATACTTCAATATCTTGTGGCTGCAGTTTCATTGCAAATCTTGAATATTGTGATCTGATCCTGGAAAATAAGGCATACTTTTTAAAAACCTCTTACCTCAAAATTAAAAATATTTAATTAGCATAAAATTGGTTAAATGTAGATGAGGCCTGAAAACCAGAAACCAGACTTCACAATTTTTCTGGGTGACAGCTGAATTCATACCCCCTCTAAACTTCAGTAACCTGAAATGTAAATGTTACTTCTGTTTTTCCACTTCTATAATCATTTCATTTATTGATGTGATGTATCGGTTAACAAACCACACATCTGAGCAGCTTTTTGTACAGTTGCAAAAAGGGCACTACACATTTCTGCCAAACATTTTATTTTTAATATTTAAAGTAATAAGGTTTCATTTTGGGGGGAAAGAAAACAGTCACAAGCTAGAGTACCATGGTTTGATTTAACCTCAAACTTTTGATTGTGTCTGTGCATTTTGCAGGAGCATATATTCAAAATATTTTTCCCACATTGTGATAATTCTGGCTTGTTAATAACAGAGGTGTAAAGCAGATGCTTGTGGAGTCTACATGGTCCTCCTGGCCTGGTCAAGAAATAGTTGCTTTTTCAAAAAAAGTAAAAAGCAGATCACTTAAGTTTTCCTTCCCCCAAAGTTGAAAATGGTTGTAACACACGATCAGTTGACACCTTATATTTAAGCAGGGAATTGGCAAAAAGAGTCAAGCAGGCAATTGTTGAATGGCAGGGAATAGGGGAATTAGGGTCAACCCCCTACTGCTTTCCTCCCTTGTGCCTGCTATTTAACCACAGTGCATTTGCTTTCCATAATTGCATCCTAATCTGTCATTTCTCCCCTAAGATATACAAAAGTAAACTTTTCATCAAAAGCTCATTCCATTTAAGATACAAAGCAGGTATCAGAAACTACCTAACATCAGTGGGCTGCACATTCCTCTGTCACACACACAATTTTTGACATATTTGTCTATTTTACTCAAAACTCCCGCGCCCTCTGAGAAGGCCTACTGCCATTTTTTTAAAAAAAAAAAGTCTCCCTATCACCACCACAAACCTAAAACATAAGAAAAGTGGACCCTCACACCCCATACAGAGTGTGCAGGCATTTTGGTTTTTTAAAAACAAATCCAAATACTTTGGGAATCAAATGAAAGGCATTGGGGGCCATATGTGGCCCACAGGCTGCATTTCTCCATCCAGTATAAGGAGTGCCCTAATCTAACTGCAGAGCCAAGCACTGAAAGAGGAGTATTTAAAATACTTATGAAATGCATACTAAATACTGCTAGCTACAAATTTCATTTAAGGGATTCATTTAAGGCCTGATCCTTTGACAGAAATGGTTCATCCCTTCATCAAACTATGCTGCTATGATCCTCCCACCTACCTATGGGGTAAAAAAGTCCTATTTTCCTGACATTCAGAATCCACTCAGACAGAGTAACCTTGTGTCAGTACAGTAGGAAGCTACAAGTGTGTATGGAGCAGGTACTTCACACTGCCATAAGCCAGTTTTGAATCCCTTTCTTGTGGGATCTTCTCACTGCCACACGCATCCCTTGTGAGGGAAGTTAAGGCTTCCCATGAACAGCCTTCAGCACCTGCCTCATATGCTACTTGCCTTACACGCTGGTGATGGGGCTACTTCTTATGGTTGCTTTTAGAATGAGTGACAATGCTGCAACATTTCTGTAGTTAAAAGCTAATGGCAGACACACTGAGTGCACAGCTGACCTTGGCTTCGCTCTTTGGGTGCCCCTACATACACATCCTCTCAACGATGAATGAGATTGCCCCCAGGTATTTCGGATTCTCTTTGTCTACCAAAGAAAAACAAGACAGCTGTAGTAGTTCTCTTACAATGCCAAGTTGCAGCCTTACTACAGGCGCAGGCCACAATACAAAAACCTGAGGGAAACAGCTTTGAGTAGTTTGTGTGTTGCCTTTGTTTGAATGTGGAAGGTCTCCTGTAAAATTATCTATTACTCACTTTGTCCTGCAGCTTATTATGCTACCCACTAAGTATGTACTTTACCTTCAGAAAATGGATGGAGTCATTTTGTCTGCTTTTTCCTGCTTTACCTATTTTGTAATTGTAAATCTTTAGGATTGTAAATTGTGGGAAAGAACATTAGCTTTGTTTGGCAGCCATTGGTAGTCAATGGTGGTGATCCTTGTAACTGATTATACACATGTACGAGATCCACGTGGCAGCAATGATCTTTGTCTGTGCAGCAGATTTGTGCTAAAAGTGCTGTAAATACATTCATGTTTACTGCTTTCCAGGGGAGAAAAATTGCACATTATCTTTGAATGGGACTGCCTTCCCCATCTCCTTTCCCTTTAAGAAAGAGAGCAACGCTCATTGCAAGTGATGATAACTTATGGTTGAGAAGAGGTTTGTTCTATATAAACTATAAATATGTATAAATATACTTTTTTAAAGCATGGGAGAATACAAAACGCATTCATGACAAAGTACTCAGAAATCATTATACATTGGAATATGCACAAGTTAATAAAGATATAGTTACATTTATCTTTGGTACTGTGGTGCAAACTGTTCACTTGGCAAAAATATGCTCTCCTATTTAGGACTTTTGTTTGCATTTTGATATTTATCCCTACTTACAGCGGCATATTTCTGTATGAAACAACAATTAGAAGTGGCACTTCTTTACCCACAATAGCACCAGAAAGTAGCACCTGGGGGTTCCTCTGTCCTTTGGAGCAGGTTTTAAGAACGCACAAGTGGCTGCAAATTCCAGTGGAAGCAGGAAAAAGCTGATCTCTGTTCAGACGGAGGCCTTCTTTGAGCAAATGAATTACTCTCTTATTAGAAGAATACATTTGTTGTTGCTGTTGTGTGCCTTCAGGTCATTTCCAACTTATGATGACCATAAGGCAAACCTATCATGGGTTTTTATTGGCAAGATTGGTTCAGAGGTGGTTTGCCATTGCCTTCCCCCTGAGGCTGAGAGCATGGGACTTCCCCAAGGTCACCCAATGGGTTTCATGGCCAAATTGGGAATCAAACCCTGGTCTCCAGAGTTGTAGTCCAACACCCAAACCACTATGCCACGCTGGCTCTTTAGCTTTGGCAAAATTACTCCAGGCTGCTGTGGCACCATCACACTTAGGAAAGTTACTCATCCACATAGCAAGCTAAACAATGATTGGTGGCTCAGTTTTATTAGCACCACTGTCATCAATAATGATACTAATGGGGGGCGGGGGACCTGGAAATAGGAGGAAGGCTTTATTCAGGTGCACAAAAGAATCTTTAGATGCTATGTTAAATATAAGTCTTTGGTGGGCTTTCAGAAGCATATTGTGCTCTCTATATGGTGAGAGATTTCACAGGTTATTACACTTTCTGTATTTTCAGCCTGTTCCCTATTTTTTTAGAACAGAAAAACTTGATCAGTTCAGTTGTTCCACCAGTTGGCTCTTGGAAGTTTCCACAAGCTCCATGTAGATAAGTAACATCAAGGTGCCTTACAGCAGGTCAGTTGAATTACCCACCAAGCCCAGTATTGTTTCTTTGTGGTCTCTGGACTGACTGAAAAAAATATTGTAGTGCTTACAGGTATGTAGTAGGTTGTTAAAGTCTTTTACTTGTATCTCTCCCCCCCAAAAAAACACCTTGTTTGCTTGTGTATCCCCATTACAAAATTACAACTATTTTACTGGGTTGTTTTTGTTTTTTTTACCCAGTACATACATGGCTGGCTGGCTTTTGCTTTAACGGTGTCAGCATATATCAAATTACACTGAAAGAGCTGACATTTAAAACCAGGCTCCTCAGTAATGCATCTCTGAAAAAGGATAACAGAACTAGCTTTTTTAAAAATACATCCAAAGTTTGGTAATCCATAAAGACAACAAGGAACTCCCCATTGCTCCCTTTCACAAACACATGCATGTGCTCACATAATTCGAAATCCACTTCATATAATCTTTGTCCTTTGGGCACACGAGATCCCCCTCCAGTCTGATTTGACTTCTAGGTTTAATAAAAGATGCAGAGCCCAGAACCCAGAAACAGACATCTCAGTACTGTTATAATACCGTTATTTTGTAGGCAGGAGTTCAATCACAGAACAAGCTCAAGACGTTTGGAAGGGGTCAGTCAGAGTGTGCTTTTCGTTTTTTATTTAGGACTCGTAACAAGAGGGTTTAGTACACAGCAACAGTTAATTCCAAACACAATTTAAAAACTTTTAAAAATTTGTTCCTCCACTCATTGGAAGGTGGCTTGTTTAATGGCACACACAATTGAACAACCAGCAACACAGCCTTCCCTAGAATCCTGCACATTTCCTGATAGCTACTGGGTCTCCGCAAGAACTCAGAGCATGCCGCCACTATATAGTAGCACAACTGCCCATCTAGAGTAGAGTTGGTCTCTTTTGACAAAGAAAGCGTGACATCCAAACCACTTTAAACACATTTATTGAAGCCGTGTGAACTTTTAATAGACTGGAGCCAGACTTAGGTGTACTCTGAAGAGGCTCAGTGAAATAAATGAGGCTTAAGATTGCCACCAATTTTAAATGCATCTTAAGTGTAAGTCTGGATCTAACCCAGTGTGTGAAAAGCCAGAAGCTGCTCTCAGTATAATCTCACTCATGAACATTTGCCACGGTTTCAGTCTGTATTAATTCCCCATTTATTACTTAACATGATGGAATCAAAAGAGTGGCTAAATTGCATAAATTCTGTTCCATGGTTCAGTATGGAAATTGATCACCATTTTCTGCTTTCAAGGTGCATTTGGCTACAGCCTTTTATCAGATAAACTGCACTCGGGGGAAAGCAGACAAATAACACCTTTTTATAATATGCATTTTAGCACAGCAAATGAAGGTATGGTCATTTATACATTATCAAATTCAAGTTTACCAACAGGATTCAACTTTAAAAAAAACGAAACATAATACACGACCCTATCAATGCACTGAATGCCTAGCTTTGGGCACCATCAGCTAGTTTTCTCTTCAGTTTAAATACTGCAGTTCCCATTATCTGGTAAAAGTGACAGTGTCTAATACTGCATGCTCGTATCATTTCTCACTTCTGACATCATTTCCCATTAATAAGGAACCTTCTTCCCCGCACCTCCTTCACATAGTTTACCAGCTGTGCAAAGGTTTTTTTTTCAAATAACACCTGCTTCTTGCCCCTCAAAAGCTTAAGACAGGTGTTGAGCAATTGGCCGTCATCATTTATTATACAAGCACAGCTACCATTATGTAAATCAATATTCCTTTCATTACTCCAATGACCTTTCCAAACACTGCTATGGACAAAGGCTGCCCCAGCAACATGGAATCCTATTGGTAGTCCCCACCAGGAAGAGCCATGGAAAGAAATGGGATTTACCTATATGTTGACTCCCTGGCCCCCAAATGATTCAATCAGCCTATTTGAATCCCAACTAACCAACATGATTCAGGCCTCAACTGGAAGACATTCCATATCTCCTGACCATTTTAACCCTGAGGTTAAACAGCACCCATTATTTTTCAGTGCTTCCTCTGGCAGAGCATGCCATAGGCCATGTACACCAGGAAATACATTTTACTTTACAGGGTAAGAGCTCAAAGCAGAGCTCAGTGGGATTTAGATTTTTTAGGCAACCAGTAAGATCCACAAAGACTAGGAAACACTCAAAAACAATCGTAACCTTCTAAAAATTATTCCTTTAAAGAGAATGAGTTGTTCATTCCCCATCTCACCCGCCAAAATAATCAAAAGCCAGAGAGCAAGATGCGCATATGCCAAACCAGCACCTGCCAAGGACTGCTCCACCTAAAGCCAGACAGCCAGTTCCTCCTGTGCCTTCAGTTATCCTCTGAGGATGAGTGTTTGCCTTCAGGCTGTGCTACGTGAACTGATGGGGAAACAGGCCTAAGACTCTCATGCAAGATTATAGGAAGGACACAGCCGTGGGCTCCAGAGAATTCATTTTAAAATGTAATCCAGAAGGATGGGAAGGATACACATGCAAAACCACATTAAAAGCAGACCATCCATTCACAGAGGCAACTGTTAGTATTCAACACGCTGAAATGAATCCTTAGAAACACGAATCATTAGCAAAGTGGCAAGAAATCCTTCATGAACCTATTTTCTCGTTAAGTCACCTTTCCCTCCAAATGTTGCTAATATAACCAAAGATAAAAGACCAGCCACACTGGAAGTACTTCAGATGAAAAGTATCGCCTCTGCCAGGCTGGTATACCATGTAGTAACACATGAAAGGAGCAGTTCAGCCTCTCCATGGGTTGGGAAATGCTCTTTAGCATCTTTAACATGTGCAAGCCCTCAGATGAGGCCCAAGAGACAAGTGATAGCAATTTATACAAAAGTAGGGTAAAGGCAGCCCCTGGAAATAACAACATAACAACCTTCAGGCCTTTAAAATAAAAGGCACCAGAGATTACTGTTTCTACTTTAGACAGACAGCTCTTTTTGCACAGAAAGATTTGTTCCTGGTGCTTTAGTAAAGAGATCTGCTCTTCTAAAAATAAAATAAAAATAAAACAGTGTCGGGGCAAGGTAAGGGGTGGGTGAGATCTATGTTCAGATCTGTGTGCCATTATTGCATGGGGTGGAAAACTAAGCACTTAGGGAATGAACACCATTTTATGGAGGTATATAGATTGACACTGGATCATAATTTGGCTCAACTATTTGCTCTCCATTAAATACTGAAAGAACAGTTTAAAACATCTGACACCTTCACTTGATTTCTGACTGGAGGATCCAGGGGGGGCACAATTTTGCAAGCCTTCCCATCTCTCCCACCTCATCCCCCTTTTTTAAAAAAATAGTAAACATTAAATTATTAGAACTGTTGGAGAAAATTTACAATTTATAGATGGAATACCAACCTCACCGACTTGATATAGCATGCAGTCTATGCAACATTACATACAAAAAAAGTCTGATTACTGTGGGCCTTGTACATAGATAGCATCATCCCTAGACATTCTACAGATTTCAAATTTGTACAATATAAAAAATAAGCATGAAATCCAAGGAATTTCTTTACAACATGAGTACTGCAGAATAAAAAGCATGAAACCAGCAGGATGAGAGCAATCTGGAAACACCCGCTGCAACAGCTCCACAGGAGGAGGATCATGGCCTAGGGCTGGGCAGGGAGCAGCCACACAATCTGAACTGCAGGACTTCTGGGAGAATGGGGCAGCACCCTCCACAGAAGATGGACAGTCTTCAAACTCCCTCACACAGCCAACAAAACACGTCTCTTTTAAACAGTGCACAGAAGCTCCTTATCAACCATTTCTATATTTGAATGCACTTTTAAAAACACTGCAGATCTCTGAAACCATTTCACGCCCAAAGATTTCTGCTAGAATTGAAGGTACACTGAGCTATGGAATCTTGACTCAATTTTCCTGGATTTGCTCACCAAATGAAACCTAGCTCTGGTGGTCAGGACCTTGCAAAGAGACAGACTTAAGGCATTAATGCTAAAGCAGTGGTGCCCAAACCTTGGCCCTCCAGGTGTTTTGGACTTCATTTCCCAGAACACCCGACTGTTGGCCAAGCTGGCTGAGGCTTTGGGGAGATGAAGTCCAAAACACTTGAAAGACCAAAGTTTGGGAACAACTGCCCTGAAGCAATAGAATGCTTTAGTAATGACTGCTTCTTCTGGAATAAGTAATGACTGCTTACTCTGGTTGTGTCCTCTGCTTAGACAAATGTGTGGTATTTCCTCAAAGGACAGAGAAGAGACCATCTCACCTGTGATGTGAGGAATCCAAAGTTAAGGCAACCTGCTTTTCTTTTTGTCTTTTCCCTTTTTGGAGAAGGAGGAGCAAATACAAAAACAGGGGCCTTGAGAAGCTGCCCATAGCATGCAAGGCCCCCTACCAGAAGTAAAGTGCATGAGTAATGTGAAGAATCAGAGATTTTTGTAAAGCAGGGGAATAAATGCTTCTTTGCCTATAGAAGCAGTTAAACCAGATGGGGGGTCTAACTACACCCTCCTCATTACATCTGCCTTTTTACAGCTCTGGGTAATCTTTGGGAGACAAGGCAGAATGAAAAAAG